AAGAATGATTCCTTTATCATAACAAGTATCCAAATGTACAAATGTAGCAGGTGTGAATTCCTCCACCACACCTGCAGTGTTATGAAAAATGTCTCATTCAAAATGTATAATTAAATTACATCCCAGTTCCAGCCCCATGCAATGGACTGAATGTTTTTGCCACACCCAGAAAATGTATATGCTGAAACCCATACCCCACAATGTTATGGTGTTTGGTGGTGGGGTCTCTGGGAGGTCATCAGGTCACGAGGGTGGATTAGTGCTCTCAGAAGCAGTGCTACCTGTCCCTGTCCCTCCCTCTTCCCACTCCACCCACACAGGTGAGGACACAGCAAGAGGGTGGCTGTCTACAAGCAAGGACAAGGCTGTAAGCAGACACCAGATCTGCTGGTGCCTTCATCTTGACTTCCAGACTCCAGAACTGTGAGAAATAAATGTCTGCTGTTTAAGTCGCTAATATATGGTATTTCTGTTTTAACAACCCAAACTGACTGAGGCACGACCCTTGCCAAGGTTGGTTAGAATGGCCAATGTTAAATGTTCATGGCCTTCCACCCTGCCACACGCAGTAACTCACTTGCTTCTGAGAAATGGAGAACCTCTCCTTCCGTCCTAAACAGTCACTATTTCTTCTCTGCTGCTTAGTGCCAGTGCTAGGGGCTGATTCTCCCCATTTGCCATGCCCTGCCATCCTGAGCTTTCCTCTCCTTTACCGGAGTTCCCAAGGCCACAGGGCCTGGTGGACAACGTCACAGTCACATTTTCCCCAGGCCCCCAGAAGTGCTGTCAAGGAGTGCCCTGGCCTGATGAGCTATGAATCCCATGGTCCTCTTCCCCAGGTGTATCCACAGCCCCCTGACCCTCAGTCCCCGCCCTCCCTCACACAGCGCACACCTCTTGTGGGAATCAAGCGTCTTGCTCCTGCAACATTCAGGATGTGAGAGGAGATTGTCTTCGGCTACCAAGACAGCAGAGAACACAAGAACTCCACAAAAGAATCCCTTTGTTTTTCCCTATGGAAAAGAGGAAATTACTTCTTCCTTTTGCTGTCTCCTAAGGAAGGGGATGAACAAATATAAAATTAAATATCTCAGTTCCAGAGTTGAGATGGCAACAGCCCTTAAAACACAACTTCCTATATAATAAAAGATTAATATGCAAATTGACCCAACAGAGGAATGACCAGTGGCTATGATGCGCACTGACCACCAGGGGGCAGGCGCTTAACACAGGAGCTGCCCCCTGGTGGTCAGTGAACTCCCAGAAACCAGGCTCATGTCTGGTGAGCACAGTGGCAGTGGCCTCGAGGGCTCCCAGACTGCAAGAGGGCACAGGTCCTGCTGAGAGACCCCCCTGAGTGCACAAATTTCATGCATCAGGCCTCTAATTTTAAATAAGAATCAATTATACCCTGGCTTTCATGGCTCAGTGGTTAGAATGTCTTCCTGTGTACTGGAGGGTCAAGGTTTTGATCCCCACCTCCATTTAAGGCATGTGTGGGAAGCAACTAATCAATTTTTCTCTCTTCTCTCTCTCTCTCTCTCTCTCTCTCTCTCTCTCTCTCTTTCTCTCTCCCCTCTCTCTCTCTCTTTCTCCATCTCTCCCTCCCCCATCCCTTCCACTTTCTCTTTAAAAATCAATGGAAAAAATATCCTCATTCCTTGGGTGAAGATTAAAACAAGAATAATTACTTATGATGTAAAATGTACATTGGCTGATATTATGGCTTGAAGCAAAAGAAATCAACTAATTGTAGCTTAAACAAACAAAAAAAAATAGGTATTTTTTCTTAAGAAAAGGGTACCTTGTCAAAGCAGAAATGAGGCCAGGACTCTGAAAGGATTGGAACCAGGACTGGAAGGTTGCCAAAACCACATGGTATTTTTCTGTCCCTCACCTATGCTCTCCATTGCACACCTGCTGCACTTTTCTCTATGCAAACCACTGAGCTGGCTCAGCTCCCAGGATATTATGCAGAATGTGTTCCTAGTTCCCAAGTGTGTGTACTCCAGTCCCTACCTGGGGAAAGATTCACTCAATCGATCTTTGTCTTTTATTCTCTCTCTGTCTCTCTTTCTTTTCTCTCTCTTCTCCCCCACTCCCCAACCCCCACTCATCCCTACCAATCTCCAAACTCCTAGGGAAGGGACTCTGGTCCAGCTGTTCTTTCTCCCTGGTCCAATCAGCTGTGGCCAGGAAGACCAGTCCTATTGCCCAGACATGGCTATCAAGAGCCCAATCTTAGCCGAAACCGGTTTGGCTCAGTGGATAGAGCGTCGGCCTGTGGATTGAAAGATCCCAGGTTCGATTCCGGCCGGGGGCATGTACCTTGGTTGCGGGCACATCCCCAGTGGGGAGTGTGCAGGAGGCAGCTGGGCGATGTTTCTCTCTCATCAATGTTTCTAGCTCTCTATCTCTCTCCTTTCCTCTCTGTAAAAACTCAATAAAATATATTTTAAAAAAAAAAAAGAGCCCAATCTTAGAGTTGCAAAGGTTGGTGAGTGGAAGGCGGTGTAGAGAGGGAGGTGGAGCTAAGGAGGGCATCTTGCTTGCTTGTATTCCCGAAGCTGCCCCAAGACAAGTATTACAGAGCAAGTAGGTAATTTGGAAGGTGAAAGCAGCACCAGTCAGGGAATGGGGGAGTAATGAGGGGAGAGGAAAGACACCAATAAGGATGACTCATCAATGCAGGTATCACAGTGGATGGCTCTGAAAGGGAATTCTGGGAAACAAGGCAAACTACACACTTTTAAGTTACTCCCCCTGAAGCACAAGGAAGCTCAGGTTCAAGTCAACTACCAAGAGTCCTTGGCTGAAGGCTGTTCCTAAGTGGTGTTAATTCTAACGGTGCTCCCTGCCTCAAGCATGAGAGCAGAGTGGGATTCTCTGGTCCCAGAAGAAGCCTCAGGCAACAGCTTCTGCTAAAGCTGTATTGAATGAGACAGAGACACCATGGGGACTAAATCCACCTTCCATCACATCCACTGTGCTTGTTCCCAACACCTTTGTGTCTATAACCCAGAATAGTGAAAATGGAGCCTCTGAGAAGCCACCAGAGGGGTTCCCAGGGCTACTTCATGTGAGGAGCCAGAGGTGCTATCAAGTCAGGAATTGAAAAGACCTTCAAGCAACCACCTGAAGGTATTAAACAAGGGAAAGCTGGTTCTCTAGGCTAACTCTATTGAACTTCAGTAATTCACTAAGACAAAACATAGACACTGCACCATAGTACCTTGTGAGGTTCATGGGATACATATGTATGTATGTATGTATGTATGTGTATCTTAGAATGAATGCAACTTTTTTTTAATTGGCTGCCTTATGCTATAAAGGTTTTCAAATTAGGTTCCAACATTCTGCATCTTTCACTGCATTGCTGTTGTCGAGTTTACATTTTTGCATTCCGTGTAAACTTTCCCCTGGAACAGAGAGTGGGCTCGCTATAGCTGCCATTTTTAAGCTGGGGGCGGTGGGGGGGGGGGGCGGAGAACTCAAGTAGTTCCAGGGATATTCAAGGCTCAAGGCTCTTTTTATTTTCCTGGAATAAGTGCATTAGGATTATATAACTTTTCTCAAGTGGTCAAAACAAAATAATAAAACAATATTGACATTTTTAAGATAATGACAGCAGAAAAAACAACTTCAAGTTCCTTTTTAGTTGCATAATGGGTGTATCAAATATTAGCAATTTAGTAAAGATTAAATACTCTGCATGCATGTAATGACTTGGTACTCTAAATGTGTGATTTAATATAAAATTTACTGAGCACCGAGAGGCTAAGTGACTTGTCCAGGGAAACACAGACAATACATGCTGATGGAACCTGACTTGCACACCCAGAATGCCTGGCCCCAAAGCGTGTGGCCTTAACTACAGCACTGCACTGCTTGCAATTGTCACATTTCCTGAAGTCCTGTGTCGGCTTCATCTTTGGTAGATATCATGCTTTGAACACTTGATATTTCAAAATTGGAAACATTTAAGTGGGATCTTCTCAAATCATTATAACACTCCAGACAACAGAAATACTTAATGTGAGCTCCCATCCATTAACTGCCGCCACTGAGACACTGTTGTTTGGACATGTGCGACAGTGCCTTTGGCGATCAGATTTTCATAAACGTAAGCAAGGTCAGGCAAAGCAAAGACCACCACCAAACAAGGCTTCTAAGGGACTCATGGGCTTTTGGCATTGGATGGATGTTAAGCATCAATTATTCAGAATAGACTATAGTCTACTCTTTCAAAAAAGTTCCCCCTCCATTAGACGATAGTACGAGCATGGTGCGGTGGCCATATCAATTATATCACTGATTCGAGGCTCTCCTAATTAGCTGCACAAACCTTCTCTGACTTTCCTCTTGAAAGGCACATATCTAGATTGTGGGCATGTCTTTGCATTGCCTAGTTTCCCCTGCCCCAACCATGACATTAGTCTTGTCGTGACTGTCGGTCATGCTGTCCTGCTCTGGCTAAGGGGTAATGGCCAATAAGACCCTCTCTCCTACGAATATTGAGCAAAGCAGATTAGCTTGAGAAGGGACTGCAGCTGGAAAAGAGGGCACAGTAACATGGCTGCTGCTTTCCTCTCTGGAGCTCTGCCCCGGAGCAGCCACAGGGAACATGAAAGCTCTGAGAAGCTGGTGTGAAACCTGTAAGATACCCTGGTTGGGTCCTAACCCAGGAAAGAGCTGGGGAGGCATAAGATGGCAGGTGCACAGACAGGAAGCATTTATCTGTGCTTCCTTCCATCCCTCACCTGCCATCCCACCATTCCTGGAGAGAAAAGCCCTGCTAACCCAGGACGGGCTGCAGACAACAGAGAGGCATCAGGGCAGAGCTGGGACGCTCTGAGGATTCCAGAAATCACATCAGAAAGTCAACAGGGACAAACAGACCCTCGGTCCCGGTGTGTGCTTCTTTCCACCCCTCCTATCACATTTTAAGCATTAGGTGGTTACCACCAAGGGAGATAGCGATAGTGCTTAGAAACCAGACCTCCCAGGCAGGAGTATAGAGAGGAAGAAGGAGGATAAGAAGGATAAACCTAAATTAACATCCAAGTGTTCTCTCACTCTCTCTTTCCAGCTTTACTCCACACCTACCACCACTCTCTCAAGTCATAAGCACACACATTTTCTCTCCCTAACCCTGACAAGGAGTGGCACAATCTAGGGCCTGAGCTAAAGACCTCACACCACCAGCCAAGGCACCTAATATTCTGGGAAGATAGTCCTGAAAGAGAAAAATAACCACAGGGAAGTGTGACTGTGGTCAAAGAAAACAGAGGGAACAGTGGATGCCAGACGAATGTACAGTGGTGACCCAGGGAGAAGAAGATCATACAAACAAGCATCTCCAAGTGTATAGTAATGTAAAGCAAGCAGTCATAACTGAGAACCGATTGGAGATGCTGGGTCTTAAAAACACAATCAGTAGATGAGGCAAAGGGCCGAATGGACCAGTGTCTCCAGAGAAGGTGCTGAAGCACCTTTGGCCCAGCAATCCCATTCCAGGCTTGTTGTACCCAGTTTTACCCAGTGCACCTGGCACTCAGTTCACCTGGGGCACCTGTGAAACCTAAGGGTTCCAGGGCCCCCTCAGATCTGCTGAGTCAGAATCTCCAGCAGAAGGGCCCGAGAATCTGCATGTTATTAGGTAACACCCCTCCCTCTCTCCCTACAAAGTGATTCCTGTAACCAGGCAAGACTTGTCTCCTAGAAAAATTCTCACCCGGGGCAGCAGGGGACACACCTGAGATGGCTCATCACAGTGAGCTGTGCAGCGGGGAACAGGAGAACAAGCAAGGTGACCACCGCCAGGGAAATGGATTGTTAAATATGGTAGATAATTCTATGAAATAACATGCAGCTTGGAGCCCCTGAACTAAGTGTGCATTTTTATTGAACAAAAAGGTAAGCATCAGAACAATATTTACAGTACAAAACCCATTATGTAAATTTTAAACACACGCGCAACACCAAAGGCACTTAGATTTTATATGCACGTATA